GCTAGGCAGGTGCTGTACCACTTGAACCACACCTCCCCATGCCCTTTTTTGCCCTAGTTATTTTTCAGATAGGGGCTGTCTGGAGCTTCTTGCCCAGAGCCAGCCTCAGGACCTCCATCCTCCCACCTATCTCCCACCTATGTCTCTTGAGTAGCTGGGATTTACAGATGTGAGCTGCCATGCCAGGCCTGCCACTTGTATTTACTTTTTTATTTAGGTGGTACTGGAGTTTGAACTCAGGGTTTCACGTTTGCCAGGTAGGACTCTACCACTCCACCAGCCGTTTTTTGTTGGGATGTTTGAGATAGGGTTTTGAGAACTCTTTCCCCAGGCTGGGCTCAAACTGCAAACCTCCTGATCTCTGCCTCCTGAGTAGCTAGGGTTTTAGGTGTGAGCCACCGGTGCCCGCCTGCCACTTGCATTTTTTGAGGCCCACTGAAGCAATTAAAAATGATGAGATGCTAAAACAGGGTGATGAAAAATAGTGATATATTTTAAATGCTTATATTTAATGAAATAGTACTTTTAGCACACAAATAGAGAGGTCAACGTGCTATTCGCAAGACAGCTCTTATTTTTGAAAGCTCATTCTGAAGGTGCAAGGGCTACTGCTGCTGGGTGCAGGTTTAAAATGTCAGGTGGTGAACGTGCCTTCTTTCGAAACTGTTATTGTACCTCCGAGTGTCACACCCTGAAGACAAACCAGGCCTGAACCTGAGGAGATCCCAAGCCAGCTTCCTGTGTCCTATTCTCTGTAAGTCACTTTAGTATCACAAGTGGCCTCCCAACTGCCTATAGAGAGAAATAATAAATAAATAAAAACCCAAGTGCCTAGAGAGGGGCTCTGTGGAGCACATGGGCATGCACGCACACATGTACACACGTGTGCACAGATACATTCATACACATGCATGCACCCACATGCACACAAAAACCTTGCAAAATCCTGCAGGTAATGACCAAGGACATTGGACTGGAGGTGTGGCTTAAGCAGTAGAGTGCCTGCTTTGCAAGCACAAAGCCTTGAGTTCAAACCCCAGTCTCACCAAAAAATAAAAAGAAGACCAAGGACATTATCCACTGCTCAATGTCAAGGCTGACCTCTGCCTGAAGTTGCAGTTCACTCGCCAGGCCAAATAGTGAAAAGAGTTATGCTCCCTGTAGGGCAGGTGTGGCCCCACCATGCTTGGGGGCTAACATTGGACATGCAACCCCCACTCAGCAGCCAAAAGCGCTCCCCGAAGTGAGCTCTCTCTGCTCGCAACCTTCAAGGCTCGGCTCTCCACTGACCTCTTGTCCAGGGTTTTAATGGCTGGTCTCCATGTATGTACAGCTCTAGCCATCCCCGTCCCTATCCCCGTAGGCATTCGTGATCTAGAATGTGTTGTCATCTCACTTGGCTAGGAGTGCTCATTTTCCCCACCCACATTCTTTCCTTCCTCCTCTCACCTGGCCAAGCCCTCTATGGCTGCCTTCTTGCTCTGCCCTGCCCTGCCCTGGCTGCATTTGGTGCCCTGGGAGACCGCACTGCAGACCAGTGAGCAGCATGGGACCTTCACCTTGAATCCTTAGGACCTAGCACAGGCCAAGGTGCATTGTTGAATGCATGAGAATGGGGTGTATTTCGACCTGGCAAAGCTCTAGTGTGACAAAACACAGAGCAACCCAGGAGAGCTCCTCAGTGTTCTGAATCCCCACAGAGGAGCTTCAGGCAGGCGATCCTGGAAACCCTGGGGCCTCTGGCTGCCCCGTGCTTGGAAAGCACACTCCTTCCATATCTTCTTTGACCGTAATAGAGCCAGGCCAAGGTCAGAAAGCCGGGAAAGCAAAGGCCTCACTAAAAAAGAAGAGACTGGGTGCCGGTGGCTCACAGCCTCTAATCCCAGCTACTCAGGAGACAAAGATCAGGTGGATTGCAGTTCAAAGCCAGCCCAGGCAAATAGTTCATGAGGCCCTATCTTAAAAAAACCCATCACAAAGCAGGGCTGGCGGAGTGGCTCAAGTGCTAGCGCGATGGCCTAATAAGCATGAGGCCCCGGGTTCAAACTTTGGTACTGCCCAAAAAAAGAAACAAATTAACATGATTTTGTTGTTATTATTTTGCAATACTGGGGTTTGAGGAGTTTGAACTCAGGGCCTCATGCTTACAAGGCAGGTGCTCTACCACTTAAGCCAGTGTAGTTATTTTTTAGATGAGGTGTCACATTTTGCCAGATTACCTGCTCCAGACCACAGTCCCCATGGCCTCCCCTGTAACTGGGATCACAGGTGCATGTCTACCCTGGGCTTGTTGATAGAGATAGGGCCTTGCTAACTTTTTGCCTAGTTGACCTTGAACTGCAATCCTTCTGATATCTGCCTTCCAAGTTGCTAGGTGACAGGCTTAAGCCACTGCACCCAGCAAAAAGAACATTAATTTTCTGCTACCCACCTAGTTCCAGGAAGCAAGGCTCCTTGTTAGGTTATGTAATTGTCAGGCCCCAAATTGTTCCACTGAGGCTCCAGCTGTGAATGTTAAACCCTCTCCCACCCTGACAATGTGAGAGGTGGCGCTCAGGGTTGTTAATGGCCTTACAGGCACTCTGCTTCCTGCCCAGGGCCCCACCCTTGGCGTCTCTGCAATGTACTTGACCGGCCAAGCCAGGCTCCTTTCCTTGGGCCTGCAGAACAAGCCCCTCCCTGTGCCAGATGGGGCAAGGCAGACCTCTGGCAGTTCAGGAAAGACTGAAGTACATGGTACTGTACTTTCTTTTTGAACGTCAAACTCACAGAAAATGTGCATTTTCCCTCTGAACGGTCTGTGAGTAAGCTATTGGCCTGGTGCCACATTGCTGGCAAACAGTTCGGTGCGTGTTGCCTGCAGTCCAGGCTGTTATTACATCATCATGGCTTCTATCAGAAGCAGGACGGGGACAAGTGTTCCTGTGCCCTGTGCTCATCACACCCCATCGGTTGTCCCAGTCACAACCTTGAGAGTGGTTGGTTCTGGTGTAGAATCACACGTTGCATTTAGTTCCAGGTCTTCCATCTCCTCCAGCCTAAACCACTTCCCTAGCCAGCAGCTGGGCTCTTCTGAGGGTTCTAGCAGTCCCTGTGCAGAACGCCCCTCAGTGTGGGGGCATGTGTGTCTCTTCAGCAGGAACTTGTGGACAGATGCTGTGTGCCCACCACTGCCCCAGCGTGTGGCCAGCTTTTAATTTGTCTCCTTGCTGTTGGTGTTTACATTGGCCACTTGGTTAAGGCGATGTCTGCCAAGCTTCTCCACTGACCGCTGTCCTTCTCATTGTGGACAGATACTATGCAACTGTCCCACTGAGGAACATCAGACTTGATAGGTATCCCCTTGATATCACATGTGCTCTTGGTTTCCTAAGCTCCTTCAGCAGGCTGGTGCTGTGACATGTCTCCATCTTTTATCTGTCTGCCTGCATGCCTGTCTATCTATCTATCCATCCATCCACCCACCCACCCATCCACCCATCCAATCCATCTATCGACCTATCATCCATCTACCCATCCACCCATCTATCTAATCCATTTATCTGTCTATCTATGTATCTGTCTATCCACCCACCCACCCACCCATCTTTCTAATCCTTTTATCTGTCTGTCTATCTTTCTATCTATCTATTTTTCTATCTATCTATCTATCTATCTATCTATCTATCTATCTATCTATCTATTTGACAGTGCTGGGGTTCGAACTCAGGGCCTTGTGCTTGTTATGAAAGTGCTCTACCACTTCAGGCACACTCCCAGCCCTTTTTGCTTTAGGTTATTTTTCAGCTAGGCTTTCACATTTTTGCCCAGGGCTAGCCTCAGAACACAATCCTCCTGCCTCCCTCCAGTGTAGCTGGGAAGATGGACATGCACCACCATGCCTTAGCTTGTTGCTTGAGATGGGGCCTTGCTAACTTTTTGCCCAGGCTGGCCTAAAACTGTGATCCTTTTGATCTCCACCTCCCAAATAACTGGGATTACAGGTGTGCACCACCATGCCTGACCTGTCTTCAGCATTCTTTAATCACTCCCTTGCTTTCTGGCAAACAGTATGTTCCAGGACCATTTTCTGCTGGCTGTGCCCCAGCCCTGGAATTGGCTGTTTTTCCAAAGTTCTTTTAATGCAAAGTTATAATTCGAAGCCAGTACTTGGATGCCAGAAAGGATCCAGGCTTTGGAGAGCTTGTTGCTGGGGGACAGACATGTATACACATTGCCATCTCTTTATGTTCAAGTCTGCAATTCTCTCTCTCACTGACAATCAGAAACCTGGACACCCCTCACCAGGTGCGGAGAGGACATCCCCAAACTCCCTCTCTGGCACTTGCTCTGGAGGCCCATGGCTCTCCCTTCCCTTCTGTGGTCCCCTTTTCATTACTCCTTCTCAAGGCTTTAGGACAGAATTGTTGAAAAGAGAATGTGACAAAGGGAAGATCTTTGTTTTTGTTTTGTTTTGTTTTTGTTTTGTGTTACTGGGGCCTACACCTTGAGGCACTCCACCAGCCCTTTTTTGTGACATATTTTTTTCAAGATAGGGTCTCATGAACTGTTTGCTCAGGCTGGCTTCAAACTGTGATCCTCCTGATCTCTGCCTCTTGAGTAGCTAGGATTACAGGCATGGAGCCACTGGCCCCCAACTAGATCTTTGTATTTTTTAACCAAAAGAGATAAAACGATGAATAATCATAAACACTAAATCTATCAGGCCAGGTAGCTTGGATCACTCTGGCTGGATAGTTTGGGCAAACCCCTCTACCTCCCTAAGCCTCATTTCCCTCAGTGGTAACATGGAGAAATGATACTTCTTAGCTCATGTTGGTTTGAGCCTAGGGTCTCTGGTGGACAGACACTATTCCGTATTTCCCAGACTCCTCAGACATGCCAACTCCTTTCTAGAAGGCAGGGCTGGCTGTGGGGGTGGGTGTTCCTTGAGCTGCAGCTCCGTGGCTCTAAGCCTTCTTCCTTTTGCAGACTTTTTTTTTGGCAGGCCTACAGCCAAGTCTTGGGACGATTTCCTGGACAGAGGTCCTTGTGGCTGCTGCCTTAAGACGTACAGCCCAGGCCACAGCTGCCATTTCTTTCTGACCCAGGCCCAGTAGCAGCAGCAGCAGCAGCAGCCCCTTACTTGCACACAGCATGGAGTTCCAGGGGCCCTACCTGCTCCTCTGCCTCTTCTCCCTCCTGATCCAGGTCACTGCTGAGTCACCAACCCCCAAGGTTAAGAAGGCTGCAAATGTCAAGAAAGGTAAGGAGGACATCAGGGTGCTCCCCATCTTCCAGGAAGCAGGTCACCCCGCCTCATGTCACCTCACGCTCCTTCCCTTCATGCTCGTCCTTGGTGAGCTGCCCTGGAACCTTTAAGTAAGTTCCTCAGGCAGCTGGGGGAGCTCATAGCAGGGGTGGTTGTCAGAATGGTGAGGTTCCCTGACTTAGAATCGGAAAGACTCTTCCAGATCATCTAAACTGACATCTGCTCCCTCCACCCCGCTTCCCAATATTTTAAAGAAGTCTAACCTTGAGCTTAGTCCCCCAACTCCCAGCAGGGGGAGCTGTAATTAAGTCTGTTATAGAATGGGGAGAGTGGAGTTTGCTTTAAGGCTTGTGGATATTTAATGATGCAGAATATGTAAAGGAAACTAACACAGTGCTTGGCACAGCATATGCTTGACACATGGGGAAGACGAAGACAGGTCACACGAATCAGTGCCTAGAGCAGCTTTGCTCTCCTCTGCTGCCACTTGAGGGTGGAGTGCTCTTGGCTGCAGTGGGATCTGCCCTTGCAGCCCTGCCAGTAATGAGGTCACCCTAGGTTGTGTGGAAACAACAAGGCAGAACACCATGGCAATGACCGGCTGTCACCCCCTCAGGGCTGGGATGCCTGCAGGGGAGTTCAGTGGGGTGAGGGTGGGGACTAAGGCAGAGAGCCAAATGGCCGGAGCCAAGAGCACAGCTCGAAAAGAAAGGAGGTGGAGACTATCCCCAGGCCCCCCTTCCCCCAGGCTCCCCTGTGCCTGAATAGTGAAGTACGTAAAGGTACATCAGGACTATGGAGCCCCACAGGCTGTGACAAAAGATCCCCAGGACCACAAACCCCACGAAACTCCAAGACTGATTGTATGAAGTGAAAAAGAAAATGTCAAAGCAGAATGGATACTATGCTGACATTTATTTTTAAAAAGGGATTTATCACGATGTATACATGCATGAAAATGTCACAGTGAATCCCATTAATTTATATAATAGACATGTGTTAATAATTATTTAGAAAATGCAAATAAATGGGTTTAACTAGAAAAGTACATATTTATTGTATATGCATAGAATTTGTTTGGAAGTCTCTACAAGAGTTAGTAATTACCACTGGGAAGAAAAACAGGTTGGGGACAGTTTCAACTGGGAGGGAAACCTTGATTTTTTAAACTGAATTGGTTTTTTTTTTTTTTTTTTTTTTGTGGTACTGGGGTTTAAACTCAGAGCCTTCACCTTGAGCCACTCCACCAGCCCTATTTTTGTGATGGGTTTTTTTGAGATAGGGTCTCACGAACTATTTGCCTGGGCTTGCTTGGAATTGCAATCCTCCTAATCTCTGCCTCCTGCATAGCTAGGATTACAGGTGTGAGCCACTGGCACCCGGCAACTGTTTGAATTTTTAAATTATATGTATAGCTCTGAAACAATCCTTTGGAGACCACTTAGAACCTAAACGAACATAGGTAGGAGGATTGTGAGGCTAGCCCTGGGCAAAAATATGAAACTCTAGCTGAAAAATAACCTAAAGCAAAAAGGGTTGGAAGTGTGCCCGAAGTGGTAGAGCACTTTCATAATAAGCACAAGGTCCTAAGTTCGAACCCCAGCACTATCAGATAGATAAGATAGATAGATAGATAGATAGATTAGATAGGTGAATGGATGGGTGGATGGATGGATGGATGGATGGATAGATAAATGGATTAGATGGATGGGTGGGTGGGTGGATAGATGGATGAATAGATAGGTGGAGATTAAGGACTTGGGGGGCTGTCAGGACAGAAGCAGAGGGCCCTGGGCCAGCCCCCATCTCTGGCTATAACCCACTTTGGCATTCTGACCTGCTTTCCTTTCTTCCTGCCATCCATGTGCACAGCAAATTCTCACAGAGCTTTTTCTCCATGTGGGAACTGCACAATGGCAGGGAAATGTGGTCCTCTCTTAGAACGTGAACCCTAATGGTTCTCACTCAAACAGCAGCAGCACCTGGGGACACAGCAAACTCCAGGTGCCTGGCTCCTAGCAATGCTGGCTCAGGGCTGCCTTTTCCTCAGGACTCCAGTTAGTCCTGAGAAGCCCAGTATTGGGCTGGGGCACAAACGGGGGAGACAGAAGAGGGACTGCTAGGCCCAGGTGACCACAGTGCCTGGTCGGGGGAAGGTGGAAGATGAGTTGGTATGGCTGGAGGGGTGGGATGTGGGATGAGGAGAGGGAGCCCAGGGTGCTTCTGGGAGCTCCTCTACACCTGCAGGTGCTGACTAATGGGGCTTGGCTGGGTAGGGCACACAAAACCCTATGTGTCTTGCCATGATGGCTAGGCAAAGAATCCTATAGGTGGACAGAGGCTCTGATCTCATGAATGTGAACTTGATGCAGTCACAGCCAAAGGGACCACAGCAGCATCTCCTCACCTTTCACCCCAAGCTTAGCACAACCTTTCCAAAAGCTCTGGAGTGTGAGAAAGATCAGGGTCCATCCTCAGAGTTCTCAGCTTACATGCATACACATTTCCTACCTGTCCCTACTGATGCACATGAACTGGGCTCCCACCGGCAGCTCCTGTCAGGGCTGCTCTGCACCACTGAGCAGGTGCCAAGAGCAGACCTTGGTTCTGCACCAGCTGTTCTGCCATCTTGGGTGGATCATTTAAGTCTGGCTTCCTCATTTGTGTAGGCAGTGGTATAGCATGACACTTCACCCGAGGCAGATGGTTGATTGTGAGCATCACATAAGGTGGCCTGGGTGAGCTGGAACCTGGCCTGCCATGGGCGCTTCATAAACATGAAAACCTGGCTTTCCCATTCCTGTGCCTGGATGGACACGCACCCTGTGTCAAGCTAGGTGACTACTTGCTTTCTTTCTCTTAGTCATCTCCAGAGTCCTCTGAGGTCAGCTGTTAGCATCTATTGTACAGAAGAGTTATTACTGAGAGGCAGAATGACTTGTCCAGGCCACCCTTATTTTTAGGACCTGTGAGCCAATCATATGCCTACATCCTGCCACTCTGAGCCCAGGCTGGAGCTTCTGCGCTACTGGTCTGTGCTATTCCTCCAGCCTGAGGAAGTGACCTATGGGGTCTCATGGGCCCCTGGCCCTGATTCCTGATCTCCTCCAGAGCTGATGGGGTGGCTGCCCCCATCCCCAGCTACTACTAACCCCAGCCCCATCTGACCCCCTGCAACAGTTCTGACAAGTGTGGGACTAGTCTCACTGTAGCAGGAGCAAGGGAAGGAGACCCCCAGCAGGAGGGAAGCCATGAGTACTCCATTACAATAGCAGAGACAGAGAGAGAGCAGCTCTGAGATGTTGAGGGTGAGGGATGAGGAGAGCCCTTTCCCCTTACCCTTTTGGGGTCAATTGGCAGATGGGATCCTCCTGCCCAGTCCTTGTCTTACCCCAGCTTCTACCTGTCCCCCCACCTCCCATTTGTCCTTATCTCCCCTGCCTCCTGACTCCATCCCAGATGGCATGGGCCCAAAGATGCTGGAGGAGCTCAAGAGTCGACTGGATAGTCTGGCCCAGGAGGTGGCCCTGCTGAAGGAGCAGCAGGCCTTGCAGACAGGTGAGTACAGGCATGGCTTCTGGGCACCAGCATGCCTAGGAGGAAGGCACCAGGCCCATGGGCCTCTAGCCAGCAGCAGGTCCTGAATCCGCTTAGGCCAGGACACCAGGTTTAGGAGGGGCCTGTCCCCAGCCTGCTTCCTCTTAGGAAACTCTCCTGACCTGGGTCTACAAAACCCACTCAGGTGTGCACAGCTTGGGCTTGGCCACAGCTGGGTGGTATGTGTGGGGGTTGTCCCAAGAGGACAAGGGCTGTCCAACACTCTCCTGGAGCATGCTAGAGACAGAGGCAGCAGATGCAGCTGACCTCCACCTTAAAAGCATCCAAGAGGCTGGGGGCGTAGCTCAAGTGGAAGAGTGTCTATCTAGCAAGCACTGAATTCAAATCCCAGTATTGCTGGGGTGGGGGTGGGGGAGGTATCCAAGAATTCAAGAATGCAACTGGCCTGGCCTCTATCTTGGAGGCAGGGGGTGGTGAGGATGGGGTGGAGTTGGAAAGTGTGCCACACAAGGGATGTTAGAATGAGCACAATGCCCCTTTGGGCCTCAGTTTCCTCATCTGTAAAGTAGAAAGGACACAGGCTTGGGCAAGGTGGCTGAACCCACCTTGCAGACCCCAAGGGAGCAAGGTGTTGGGGGCTGTCTTGCCCTCTAGAAGCAAGGGTAGCAAATCCTTCATGCCCAATAGGGCCTATGCAGTGTGTCGCAGTGTCCCCAGCAGGAAAGAAAGGCAGCTGGAGGCCAGCTTGGCTAAGCTGCAAGACAGCACAAGGGGGTGGGGCACGGCTCAGTTGGGACAGAGCCTTCAAAGAGACACTTCTGTCATATGCCCAAAGGGTCATGGAGCCTCAATATTTGTTGAGTGGAAGTGACCAAGTGCACAGTGAGTAGGGGTGAGGCAGGGTGTAGACCCCCCAATATTTGTGGGCTGAGCAGCAACACACTGTGCAAGAGTGTGTTGCACACACCCTATCTAAACATTTAAGTTAGAAGTCAAGCTAAAATTCAAACTGCTAAACAAAATTCATTCCATCTTCCTAACTTGACCATATCATACCCTCCTCACAACCTTGGGTGTCAGGTTCACACTGAGAATTCTGGCCCCTGACCCACCCTTCCTGCCTCTCTGCTGTGGGATGCTCTTACACAGTTCCGGCTCTATCCTTTGAGCTCCACCCAGCTGGCCCTGGGGCAGAAGTGGCCTGGCCTTGTGCCCAGGAAGCTTGCCTCTTGGGCAGGGATTGCCTGTCTTGGGTACCTGGAGCACGAGCTCAGCTATAGGTGGGCAAACTGGTCCTGCCAGCAGCTTGAGCCTACAGAGAGCAGGAGGCTCTGGCTGGTTTCCTGGGAAGTTACCTCTGGGATGGAGAGGCCTGGAATCCATGCCTGGGGAGGGTGGGCAAGGAAGCAGAACTGGGCAGAGCACAGCCCCTGGCCTGACCCCACAGGAGCCTGGAGGGTGAACGGGCCCTTCAAAATCATGCTGCCTTGGGTGGAGATGGCCTGGCTTTTACACACCCACAGTTCAGCTCTGGAGCTGGCTGCCCTGGTGGGGTATGACTGTGGGCATGGTGGCTCTTTGCCACACAGAGAGTTTCGGACCCAGTAGCAGGAGTGCCAATGGGAATCTGCAGCTCAGTGTCCCCACAGCAGGGTCCTCAAGGGATACACGGTCAGGACCCCTCCTGCCTGTGTCTGGGAGGCCCACCATCTGTGGCTTGGAACGGGGGCCTTTCGGTGACAGCCATTTCTCCCCTCCCAGTCTGCCTGAAGGGCACCAAGGTGCACATGAAGTGCTTTCTGGCCTTCACCCAGGCGAAGACCTTCCACGAGGCGAGCGAGGACTGCATCTCGCGCGGGGGCACCCTGGCCACCCCGCAGACGGGAGTGGAGAACGACGCCCTGTACGAATACGGGCACCAGAGCGTGGGCAGCGAGGCCGAGATCTGGCTAGGCCTCAACGACATGGCGGCCGAGGGCTCTTGGGTGGACATGACCGGCGGCCACATCACTTACAAGAACTGGGAGACAGAGATCACCGCGCAGCCCGACGGCGGCAAGACCGAGAACTGCGCCGCCCTGGCAGGCGCAGCCAACGGCAAGTGGTTCGACAAGCGCTGCCGGGATGAGCTGCCCTACATCTGCCAGTTCGCCATCGTGTAGCTTCTGGGGGCCTAGGGGCGGGGTCTCCCCGGGGGCTCGGGGAGGACGGGGCCCGTGGGATGTCTGGGGAGGGGCGAGGCCGTGGGGGGCAGGGGGCAGGGGGAGGGGCAGGGCCGTGGGGGGAGCGTGGGGACGGGAATGGAGGACAGGATCCGTGGGGACTCGTGGAGGGGCGGGACCCGTAGGATGTCTGGGGAGGGGCGGGGCCATGGGGGGCAGGGGGCAGGGGGAGGGGCGGGCTCGTGGGGGTGGGGAGGGGCAGGGCCGTGGGGGGAGCGTGGGGACGGGAGTGGAGGACAGGATCCGTGGGGACTCGGGGAGGGGCAGGGCCCGTGGGATGTCTGGGGAGGGGCGAGGCCGTGGGGGGCTGGGCGGGGCGGGGCAGACCTCGTGGCTCCGTCCTGTCACTGCCTCCTTATGTAAATAAAGATGGTGCAGAGTCGCTGCGGTGTGTGCGGGGTGGGCAGGGCGCGGAGGGCATTCCGGGAGCCTGGTCGAAAACCCAGAGGCCAAAGGAAGAAGATGAAGATGGAAAGAGGGGAGCTGGGCACACGGATTTCACACCAAGAATGAATTCCCAACAGGACTGGAAAGAGAACTGAGGAGAGGGGGGAGGAAATGAAGGGAGGTACAAAACCCTGGCCTGCTGCCTGCTTTTTCTTTTTGTGACTTTTTGTTTTCACACAATTTTATACTTCAGGAAGGTTGTGAGAACTGATTCTCCATATGTCAACATTTCCTTATATTTACACTATCCTTTATTTTATTTGTTGACAGTAAATGTAGACATAATGTCCCTTCCTCCCTAAATACTTCTCTGTGTGTTTCCTGAAAACAAGGATCTTTTCTTACATAACAGCAGAGTTATCAAAGTCCAGAAATTAACTTTGATATAATGCTGTTATCTGAGTTGCAGGCTTTATTCAAGTGTCTAAGCTTCTTTTTGTAGAATCCACTTTCATCTGTTGGAATCCAGCCCACCCCTCCCCATTCCAGAGAAGAGATCCCTTCTCCTGCTGGTTGTCTATTTCTGGGAGCTGCCCACAGGGGAGATCTGCATCTGCCACCTTCTTCGGCACCCTGGGGACTGGCCAAGGGGCCAGTGTATTTCCTTCCTTCCCATCATCCCCAGAGAGTTTGGTGGTCTGTGTTGTTTCATGGAGTGTGTCATTGAGCCCGCCAGATTAAACCTGTCATCTGATTTTAATTTTACCCATTCAGGACAAGAGGTGTAATCATACAGAAAAGGAAGGCCACCTCAGGGAAGTCCAGTGGCTTCCGCTGGTCACAAAGCTAGTAAGCAGCAGAGCCTGCATCTAACTGAGAGCTGGTTCCAGATGCCTTCGCCTTCCCATCACCGTTGCAAACTCACCTCATGTAACCGGAACATTCATGGAATAAAGCAGAAGTGGCCTGGTGCCCTCCAGAGGTTACTGGCCAGCTCTTAGCATGATCTGGCCATCAAGCACTGTACCCAGGTCTAGTGTGACCATGGCTCCACTGTCAGGACTTCCTCAGAACCTGTCTCTCCTTGGGTGAGACCTTGATGATAGCTTGATTTGCTAGATGGAGTGGGTTGAACAAAGCAGCTTGCAGTGGGTGGTGTACTTACTGCATGCCATTGTCACCAAGAGCATCGCATGAGATTCAGTTATGGGAGTTGGGGACGAAGTCCATTGCCATCAGCAAAACACTCTCAGATGTTTAAGGTGGCCCAACTAAGGAAGGGACAAAACTGAGATTCAAGTCTATGTCTTGGACCCTTCTGATCCCCTACTTCGCCTTCTAGCAGGATAGAGGTGGCCAAGGGACGTTCAAACTTCCTGAAAAGGATGGCTGCTCTCTCCATGGTACCCATGCCTTCCAATGTGAGTGCCAGTCCTGGTGGAAAGGCAGGGGCTGTGGCATGGGGTGCCCAGGCCAGGCAATAAGCCCTGCTTGCTTACAGCAGCAGGTGGCAGTATAGTGAAGCAACTCATCACCCAGCTTTTATCCCAAAGTCTCCTGCATTTGGGATACCTGCATACTTCAAACTGGGTACACCTCTCCTCCAATCCAGCCTTTTTTTCTTTCTTTTTTTTTGTCTTTGCAATGCTGGGATTTGAACTCAGGTCCTACTCCTTGAGCCACTCCACCAGCCCTTTTTTTGTGATGGGTTTTTTTGCCTGGGCTGGCTTCGAACTGTGATCCTCTTGATCTCTGCCTCCTGAGTAGCTAAGATTACAGCTATGAGTCACTGCTGTCCAGTTTTTTTTTTAAGATGGGGTCATTGTCTCTATGTTGTCCTGGTCAGCCTCAAGCTCCTGAGCTTAAGTCATCCTTCTGCCTCAAAAGAAAGGCCATCTCTTCAACCCACCCTGACTTAACAGGGGGTGTCACCCTGGGGTGTAGGAAGCTTTGGGGATGTTCCCTAAAGGGACACTGAAATATTGGTGTAGGGTGTGAACAACAGAAGACCAGGTAAAGGTCTAGTAGAGTGGCTCAAGTGGTAGAGCGCCTGCCTAGCAAGCATAAGGCCCTGAGTTCAGACCCCGGTACTGCCAAAACAAAAACACAAACAAAAATAGGTGAAAAATCCTTTTGCAAATGTAGTATTTCCCAATCCCTTGCCTTTAATATATTTAGAGCAGAGCCTAACCAAATTGTCAGTCAGTAGACCCTACAAGATAATTTCCAGTGACTAAACATTTCCTACCTGTACCTTAGAAGGTCAAGTATTAGGTGATTTTATAACCAAAGTCCTTCCACTTCTATCAACTCACTCATCTAAACGAGGTGTCACTTTACAACTCTAAAAGTATCAACATTAATGCTGAATCCTGTCCTGCTTCGTTCTGGGATATGTGAACCAATTTTAGAAAACCTATTTATCTAATTCAGAAAATCATGTTTCCTGGGAGTGTAGCTTAGGGGAAGAGGGCTTGCCACTAACATGTGTAAGGCCCTGGGTTCCATCCTTAGCACTACCAAAAATGTAATATACCTGTGATGCTATGATCAATTGGGTACTGACAGCATGTATTAGTCAGCTCTCTGTTAGTGTGACAAAATGCCTGAGACAATCAACTTTTAAAGGGGAAAGGTTTATTTTGGTTCGGTCCATGGTTTCTGGGTTCCACTCATTGCCTTTGGGCTGTAGCAGAACACTATATATCATGGGAAGAGCACATAGCAGAGGAGGTTTCCTGCTTATCTCATGGCAGTCAGGAAGTAAAAAAGGAGTCAGCAAGAGGCCAGGGTCACAACATCCCTTCAAAGGCACACTACCACTGATCTGATTTTCTTCCAGGAAGGCCCATCTCTTAAAAGATTCTACAGCTCCCAAATAGTGCCACAGGCTGGTGATTAAGCCTTTAACACATGGGCCTTTGGGGGACATTCAGACTCTAGTCCAACAATCGATTAGGGGAATTTCTAGAAAGGCCAGTTTGAGGAACAGCAGCCTGAACCTTTTCTCTGGGAACTGTGCTGCTCTTGGCACTTGTGAGACCACTGAGCAGGAGGTAGGGTTTCTGCAGAGGGTCTTTCTACCAGCCCTTGGTCCTCACTAATGTGCCAGGGCCACACACTCAGACCTGGTTGAGCCTGGCTCTCTCCTCCTTGCCCCATTGCCTCTGCTACTCCTGATTCTGCCTCCTCTTCTCATTGGGCCTTTCCTTCAGTCTTCCATTCCCTGGCTTATCCCAGCCAAGGCAGGAGACAGCTGGAGTACAGATATAGAGCTCAATTCCAGTGAAGCAGGGGTGCCTGGGAGACCTGGGGCTGGTCTGGGTGGTGCTGGGGGTGGGTCACTGGAGAAGGCCTGTCGGGCATAGTTCTCCCCATTCACATGAAGTTTAGACCAGATGATCCTTAAGGCTGCCCAGTCCAGGAGTGGACCATCCTGTCCCTAGGAGTCGTAGAATCCTCTCCTGCATTGCCATTTCCTTTCCTGCAGTGAACCTGGGCCATTAGGGTCTCTCTTGAATTCCAAACGTGAACAAATTCAGATGCCTGGTAGACATTGCCACCTGGACGTCTTTAGGCACCTATGTTGACACATCCAAAGGGAACCGAGTGTCTTCATACTCAAGTTTGCAGCTAGTCCTGAGTTCACCAGCCCCAGGAAGGTCACTACCTGTCCAGTCACACATGCGCCAAATCTGTGGGGCATCAAAGGTGCCTCAGTGTCTGTCACACCTGAGATTCCAATAATGTCCAAGATGCCATGATTTTTTTTGCTTCTCAAGTTGTTCTCTGATCTGTCCCCTCTTCTCCAGTTCCACTTAAGCAAATAAAGTCTCCACTTGAACCACTGCAAATAACATTCTTCCTGGTTCCCGCCTCTCCCCACATCTCTCCCACCCACCCAAACTCTACCCTTTACTGCGAAACCATAGCAGCGTGGAAAGACAGGCTTGTTGAACCCTTAGTAGAATGGGTCCTTTCACACATGAGCGTAGCCATCTTTGCTGCATTCGAAAACACTGGCCCACTGTTGCATCCTGAGGCCTTACAGCTTCAGGCAATAATAAATCTCCCTTTGATTTTGGCTTTGAAAAGAGAAGATGGAGATGTTAATAAAAATAAAGCAGATAGTGTTTATGCTGACCCAGAAGCCCTGTACCATGATCTTGGAAACATCCAGGAAGGTGTTACTAAATTTACTTCCTAATTGAGGGAAATGGGTAGAAAGATATCTTCTCTGACAACACCGAATGACAGGACCGGAACCCCAGCACAAGTCTGTTGCGTTCCAAAGTCCACGTGCCATCTGCTGCTGTGTACGCTCACTTTCCCCTGAATCCTGAAGAAAGTTTTCAGACATTTCAGGATATGATTATGAAAGATTTGTTTAAAAAAAAAAAAAGGGAGGGAGTGATAATGCTGGTTGTTGGTGTTATTGAGTTTGTGATAGGGAATACAGAATCTTGTAAAAGAACATTCCTCCAAACACAGATTTTTTAGGGCTTTTTCTGAGGTCTAATGTTAGATTCTACCTTACCTGCTTTTCCTAGGAGACTTAATTTATCAACATGGTTTAG